ACACTCTCACGATACCTCTTTTGACCCAAGCTCAAGCTTCTGAGGGTGGCTTTTACTTCTGTCAGTGGCTTCCACCCGCCAAGCAGGGATGACCAAATATCAGATACTCTCATGATACCTCTTTTGACCCCAGGCTCTGTCGTAAGAGCCCGCAGAGCCATCCACCAAGAACACTGCCCTGGAGTGATCTGTCACAGCGGGGTTCTCGAACAGCAAGTGCCAGTGGTTGAGGACCTCCTCTTTGGTGGAAGGTGTGTGCTGCGAGTCCGACGGTGCCACACTCGGCGGATAGGTTCCCAAAATCCGGAATTGAGTCTCTTCTTGCGAAAAGAAGGCATGAAGAAACAGGCCCAGACGTCCTGGGGTCTGCTCAGCCCCCATTCCTTCATCAATATACGTTCACCCACTGTAACCCAACGCTCTTTTGTGTTCGTGGTGGCAACCCTCCTCAACTGGGCTTGGCTTCTCCTTGCGGGGTCCATCAAGCCAAGGCCCCCTTGAGCTCTTGGGAAGGTTAGCATATCAAACGCTACTTTCGACAAAAACCCTTCTGTGATTTCGGCCCGTGGTTTCACAAATGAACCGGGCTACCAACCTTCTAACAGCCTTTACCACCCCCTCCACTAGTTCCTTCATGGTGGACAAGAACCACATAATCGAAAACGGCTCCTAGAGGAGAAATTGGGTCTCGCCGCACCGCTCACCAAATGCACAAAAGACAAAAGTTATGGCGGTGCATCTTTCCATGTTCTAGGGACAAGTTCATTCTCATTTTGCACATTTGTGAGTGGTGCGGCGAGGCCCATTTTGGTCCCGCGCTCAACAGCAGGCCCAACTGCCGCCGATCAGATTTAGAGGCTGATCCCACTATGAACTTTTACCAAAAAGTCGTAAAAGTCCCTTGAAAGTAGGAGAAGTGCTGAACGTTTCGTAGGGAAAAAGTGGGATCCCATAGGCCCGGACTTCTTGGCGCTTTCCCGATTGCGTCGCCGAATTTCGATGGTCGTGCACGGGTCCAGCGGAGACACCCGGTCTCCTTTTGTGTCCGCGTGCGCCGCTCACACAAGAAAGACCGCCGATCAGATTTAGAGGTTGATCCCACTATGAACTTTTACCAAAAAGTCGTAAAAGTCCCTTGAAAGTAGGAGAAGTGTCAAACGTTTTGTAAGGAAAAAGTGGGATCCCATAGGCCCGGATTTCTTGGCGCTTTCCCGATTGCGTCGTCGAATTTCGATGACCGTGCACGGGTCCAGCGGAGACACCTGGTCTCCTTTTGTGTCCACGTGCGTCGGTTGGTGGCGAAGTTGAAATTGGCGGCGGGCGAAAGGATGGTGCCGCCGCTTTCATGGATCCAGGATGTGCAGCGAACTCTGATGGAGATTACATGGGGATTGGAGAAGGGGCCTTCCCCCCACCAAGAAGTACGCATGGATCAACTACGATTGCAAAGCCTGATGCGGTACTACTATACGAAACTTGGGGAGGGGCAAGTTCTTTGTGCTACGTTGGAAGACCGATGCTACGAAGAAGACGACGAAATTGAGGATGACGTGCACGGCATCCGCTCCGTCGCTGACAACACTATCAAAATTCCAAGTTGAGATAATAACTTTCCAGATTTGGCCTTTGGGCAATCCATGAAGAGTGGGCATCAAGAGAGGAGCGCGCAAACAACATTAATCTGCGCCGCGGACCGGTCGGCAGGGCCCGACCATACTCCGTGGGCTGGAGCAGTGGTGGGCATCTGCCATCGCTGCGCCTGGTCGTCCTACTGCCCGTCCAACGTCTGGCCTGGGCATATGCGGGGTTCGCACGTGGCAACTTAGGAGACGACACGTCGGCGCAATTTCTGCAAGATAATTTAGGAGAGTTGGCGCATTCTTTCTCGACCGATTGTGACAATAACGACAGGGGTGTGCATAGTGGTGGTTGGTGATGGCGAATCAGGCGATGGCGAGTCTGGATGAACAACGGACGGGTGCTACCTCATGGCTTACTACAATTAAAGTGAGCAGCGCGCGTCTAAGTCGGTTGGTGGCAAAGTTGAGATTGGCGGTGGCCGAAAGGATGGTGCCGTCGCTTTCATGGATCCAGGATGTGCAGCGAACTCTGATGGACATTACATGGGGATTGAAGAAGGGGCCTTCCCCCCATCAGGAAGTATGCATGGATCAGCTATGATTGCAAAGCCTGATGCGGTACTACTATATGAAGCTTGAGGAGGGGCAGCTCTTTGCGCTACGTTGGAAGACCGATGCAACGAAGAAGACGGCGAAATTGAGGATGGCGTGCACGACATCGGCTCCGTCGCTGACAACGCTATCAAAACCGACAGAAACGACGACAACGATTTCGCCTACACCGCCGGTATCTGCAATAACAAAAACAACAACAACAACAACAACGATAACAACAACAACAATAACAACAACAACGACAACGACAACAACAACAACAATGACAACGACAGGCCTGCTGAAACGACGCTCACATATGTACAGGCCATTAACATTGATAACATTAACTGCTCCGGCGACGATTAGACCGTGCAGGACAGAGGCAGGGAAGGAGGGATTTCGAGTTCGTGCTCGTTGGGGAGAAATATTGATTACATCAGCAACAAAAAACAAATCAACGCTGCCGGTGACAACAACAACAACAACAAGAATAACAATGATGATACTCATGGTGGGGCAAGTGCGATTGGGGATTCTCTTCCCCCCCTCTCCCCCTTCCTTTCCTTCTTGTTTCCCTTTAGTTCGTTGGATTTTGATTGGGGGGATGGGCGAGTGGGGTGGCCAAATGGAGTGAGTGGAAAACAGGAAGGTTGTGTGGGGGTGTGAGGAGAGAGATGGTGGCGCGCAGGTGTAGGTTAGAGAATGCTAGACAGAATGTGGCCACACGGTTTGGCGACGTGGCAACAGAATAACCATGCCTTGGGTATGGGCTTGCTTATCTGTTTGTCACGTGTAATTGATGATCTTAATTTGTCATGAGTAATTGGCGATCCCAATATGTATGAATTCCGTAATATGGCTGCCACGCGGGGATTGTCATTTCAGTTGTGCTACAAATTTGCCACATGGCAGCGCAGGAGGAACAATAGTGTTATGCATTGGGGCAGCCTATGTGGTTCACTGCTGTTCTGTAAAGTGGGTCACAATGATGAATCTAGGTTTTGTTCTGGGATTCACCACAATTGATTTTCTACCTCCCTACTCTGATTACCTCTTCCCCTCATGGCGCAGTAAGACTTTTCTAGAATAAGATGAGGGTTTCTCAGTAGTGATATATCTTTAGTGTGATGGGTAGTTAATCCCCTCGGTTGAGGGCAATCAATGCTGCTCATTAGGTTGAATGGAGCGTGCCTACATGTTGGCTCATCAATTGCTCAGGATTATAGTAGGATGAACATGTGGCATGTTATATGACATCTGGTTGTTTACAGGGACGCTGGACCCGTTTTCCAGCAGGTGATGCTCCCCACCAATAGATGGAGCCTCCCTGAGCCTGCTAGAGGTGTCTGCTTTTATCAGTGCTCCTAGCAATCGAACAAAAAAAAAAAAAAAAAAAAAAAAAAAAGAAAGACCGCCTTCACAAAAAAAAAAAGACCATCGGTTGGACCACGGACACAAGAAAGACAACCCCGAAAACTTGCCTACTTTTTGGGGGAAGGGTAGGGGGTCACGGGCTCCCTACCGTTTCCTACCAACTTCGCGCCGCTGGCGACACGCAAATTTCCATGAGTAGAAACAGCCATTTTCTGTTGCACTGCCGTCGGACGGGGAAGTTGGGGAAACCATATGGGATCCCCTTTTTTTCCAAAAAGCTCTGCTACTAATAACTGTGGGATCAGGTACTTATCAATGGCAGCCGTCGTCGGGCCCGGCCTCCTAATTTTCAGGAGTTTGGGAAAACTGCCAGATTTCCCTAATTTCCCAACACTGGGCGAGGTATAGTGGTAAAAAAAAAAAACACCACTTAGTTGAAGGAACGGCTCTGCATCTCTTCAGCCGCTCCCAAGGTACACCATCAGCTCTGTCCCCTCCCAATCCATCCATTTTGGCGTAGCCTGCGACGGCTTGATGGCTCGTGTTGCAGTTGTAGCGAGCTGAGAAAAGCAAGTTTTACTTCCGTCCCCGTTACCGCAAGGCAGTGCCGCAATCGGAGCTGTGACAGTGGGTTTGCTCTCCCCTGCCCGCGCCGCTCCTACCCCTCCTCCACCCCCCACCCCCCACGCCCCGCTCCCCCTCCTTCTCATTCCTCCCCTCGACACCCACCCCCAAAAGCCCTTTGCGCTTCCATTCTGTCGTCTCTCTCTCTCTCTCTGCGTCTCTCTCTCTCTCTCTCTCTCTCACACACACACACACACACACACACACACACGGCGTGCGTACTCGCGCCCACCGACGCAATGCCGGTTGCCATCGTGACGAGGCTCGGCGGCGACGACGATGATGATGATGATGAGGACGACGAGGAGACGACGATGAAGGTGATGGTCGCGAAGGGGATGAAGGTGATGATGCCGATGATGATCGCGAGGAGTAGAAGAGGGGCTGATGACGGGGGTGGGGATGAGGACGACGAAGGTGGTGGTGGTGATGATGATGATGACGATGATGATGATGACGATGATGATGATGGTGATGATGGTGATGATGATGATGATGATTAGGAGGAGGAGGATGATGATTAGGAGGATGAATAGGAGGATGGGGTAGCGAAGGTGGGAAGGAGAAGGGTCCTTCGCTTATTCCTTGTCTCTCTCACGGTTTGTCTCTGTGTCTGTGTGTCTCTCTGTCTGTCTGTCTGTCTGTCTGTCTCTTTCTCTGGGCCCTGCCAGTGTTACACGGCATGACAATGAGGATGGGACGAAGGTGGTGATGATAAGGACGGGGATAGGTAGGTCAGGGTGGTGACATGGACGAAGGTGAAGGCCACGCAAGAGTCTCTCCCTCTCCCTCTCCCTCTCCCTCTCTCTCTCTCTCTCTCTCTTTCTCTCTGTAAGAGAGTGCACACACACACACACACACACACACACACACACACAATCTTGGCAATGTGACGATGGCCAAGGTGACCATGATGTTGACCAAGGTGCGTCCTCCTTACGCACACACGCCCCAAAAAAGTCGGTAAAAAGGAAGTCGGGATCTCCCTGTCTGTCTCTGAGCGTGTATGCGGGCACACATACGCACGCACGCACACTCGACACAGAAACCCTAGATGAATAGATCGATGGTGAGGTAGCTGAAGGGAGGGAGGGAGGGAGAGTGATGGAGGTTTGGGAGGGGGGTTGAGGGAGGGAGGGGATCGTCGAGGTGAAAGGGAGGCAGGTGGGGACGGGCAAGAGTGGGTTGGTAATGGGAAGAGGGTAGGGGATTGGGGAGGGGAGCGAGAGGGGTGTGAAGAGGAGAGAGGACGACAGATAGATATGGGAGAGGGAGGGGATTGGGGAGGGGAGAGAGAGGGGAGTGAAGAGGGGAGAGGACGGCAGATAAATATGGGAAGAGGGAGGGGATTCGGGATGGGAGAGAGAGGGGCGTGAAGAGGGGAGAGGACGGCAGATAGATATGGGAGAGGAAGGGGATTGGGGAGGGGAGATAGAGGGGTGTTAAGAGTGGAGAGGACGGGAGAGAGATATGGGAGAGGGAGGGGATAGGTGAACGTGGAGGAACGCAGATGGATAGGAGAGGGGGGGGATTTGTTGCGAGAAGAAAGGATAGATAGAGAAGTGCACAGACGTGAGAGTGAGGCAGATGGTGGAAGAGCCCCTCGACGTAAGTACTTAGGGCATACTCACACTAGGACGTTTTTTGCTTATCTATGCACATAGTTGCGGAAAGATGCATCCCGTTCGGCCGTAAATCCGGTCAGGTACATTTAAGGTAATTGTGGTGTGAGTGCGTCCTTAATCATACGGGTGACGGACGTGCAAATATCAGAGAAGCAGAAGGAGTCCTTCCGTGCATTATTTTTTTCTTTCGTCCTTGCATTTTAAAGCCTCGTGTTTTTTTTTTTTTTTTTTTTTTTTTATTTTTTTTTCCCCTTTTTTTTTTTTTTTTTTTTTTTTTTTGAAAAAAAAATTTTTTTTTTTTTTTTTTTTTTTTGAAAAAAAACTATGCTTCTTTTTTTTTTTTTTCCGAAAAAAAACTATCCTATGTTCTTCTCTCAATTTCACCTTTCGCTATCTCCATACCACTACTCCTAAGCCTATACAGGGGACCCCTGCAAGCATAGCTATCTCTCGATTTTGCACCCCCTCTCCCTCCCCCCTCCCCCCCCCCMCACACACCAAAAAAAGGAAAAAATGCTCCTCCTCTCTAGCTTCGTTTTCTCTATTTCGCTCTTCTCTCTCCCTCTCTCTACTCTGCGTACACGCCACGAGGGAACACCTGCCAACCTGTATCAGTGCATGTTCTCGCACTAGTAGGTTACCGTAGTGGCACTTTTCTCAATGTATCTGACCACAATTACGTCTGGACCTCGATGCATCTGGCTGCAATCACCTCCAGAGCTGAGTCGAAAACGGCCCAAGTCCAAGTATTCCCTTAGTCTATCCGAAGGCGTACTAAGAGAAGATTTGGTCATTCGTGGACAGGACTCATAGGCCTACCGTCTTCACCCGAATAGAACGCGCGGTCATTATCGCTGCATCTGGATAGAAAGTTGGGCCAAATGCACAGCCATAATGACCGGGCGTTCTATTCGGGTGAAGACGGTAGCTCAGTTGGTACGCCTATGGAACTGTTGAAATACAGACCCGAGTTCGAATCCGGATGGAACTACAAGGTAGATGAATGAAATGAGCTAATTGAACCCTAATTCTGAATGACCTGGGGCTGGTCAGTTCGACAGTGATATCTCAAGGCCGTCACCCTCTGGAGAGAAAAAAAAAACACCCCCCCGGCCAAAAAAAGAAAACTGATACCTTTTTTCCCCCCGGGGGGGGGGGGGGGGGATGCATCTAGCTAATTGCAGATGGATAGATGCATCGAAGAACGGGCTCGAAAAAAAAGGAAAACAACTGGCATGCCCTACCCGTCTTGCCCGAATAGAACGTACGGTCATCGTTGCCGCATTTAGACAGAATTTCGGCCCAAATTCAGCTGTAATGACCGTACATTGTATTCCGGGAAAGACGGTAATGAGAATCTGTTGTGGCTTGGAAAAGAACAGGAGTGTCAGGAGTTTGGCCAAAAAAAAAAAGGGAAAGAAAAGTCAGGAGTAGGTAGGAAGAAGGTAGCGAGGAGTAGATGCATCAAGGGGGAGGAGGGGGACATGAGCACTCTATGTAGGTGGGTGTCTAATGTCCATGTCTGTTTTTTTTTTTTTTTTTTTTGAAGTTGGGATGGTGTGAAGAGAGACATTGGTTTGGGTTTCTGATGCTCTTGTTGCCATCGGAATCTGATGTCATTATTCTGATTATGGCTGGACTTGGATGCATCTGGCTGCAATGGACTTGGATGCATCTGGCTGCAATCAGGTCCAGATTGGTGTGGGTGAAATTGTGACAAGGACAGATACAGGTACCGGTACAGGTACACGTCTACTTTCCAAGGTCTGGGATTTCTGTCGCATTCAGCCATGGATCACGGGGGAATGCCGCCCCCTCCTCCTGAGCCAGTGACGTATATTTGCGGAGGTAGGTTGCTTATGTACAACCCTAAGCTTTTCTGAGGTTCTTTTCTTATCTCGCATTTGAGGTCCGGGTATTGTGCTTTTTGTTCTTGTCGATAGGGCTTTTGTGAAGGGGTTGTTTGTTTCTTGTTTGTTTTATTTTTATATTTATTTATTTTTATGTTATTTTTGAGGATCTGTGCTGGGCTTCTTGAGAAGTTTTGCCACTATACTATTGGCTCGTTTTTTTCTTTGTCCCTAGACATGAGGTGAGGACCTTTGTTCAGCTATCGACACAGTTGCTGGCCAGGCTGGTTGCGAGATAACTTCGTCGACCTGTCAATGTCGAAGTGAGACGAGTGGGGGAGATGAGGGTTGTACATCAACTGACAGTCTATTTAGTGATCAGTGTTCTGTCTGTCTGTCTGTCCTGTCTGTCCTGTCTGTCCTGTCTATCCTGGCTGTCTGCGTGTCTATCTGTCTGTCTATCTGTATGTCTGGCCGTTGTTGTTTCTGTCTGTCTTTCTGTGTGTGTGTGTGTGTGTGTGTGTGTGTGTGTGTGTGTGTGTGTGTGTGTGTGTGTCAGTCCGTCCGTCTGTTTGTTCGTCTGTCGATCTGTCTGTCTGTCTGTCTGTCTGTCTGTCTGTCTGTCTGTCTGTCTCTGTCTGTCGGTGGTTGTGTGCCTGTGTTCTGTCTGTCTGTCTGTCTGTCTGTCGGTGGTTGTGTGTGTGTGTCTGTCTGTCTGTCTGTCTGTCTGTCTGTCGGTGGTTGTGTGTCTGTCTGTCAGTCAGTCAGTCCATCTGTTTGTCCGTCTGTCGATCTTTTTGTTTGCCTGTCCGTATGTCTGCCTGTCTGCCTGTCCGTCTGTTCATGTGTCTTTGTGTGTGTTCGTGCATGTGGTGTGTGTGTGCGTGTGCATATGTCTCTGTCTTTGTGTCTGTGAGACTCTGTTAGACTGTCTGGCTGTCTGTCCAGCTGTCTGTTCGTGTCTCTATCGTCCTTGTGTGTTTGTGTTTGCACGCGTGCGCGCGCGCGCGCGTGTGTGTGTGTGTGTGTGTGTTTCTGTGTTTGTCTGTCTGTCTGTCTGGCTCCCCATCTGTTTGTCCGTCTGTTGTGACACTAATGGTTAATAGGTGGTGTCATTTTCGGTGAAGTTTTCGCCAAGACAGTAAAGCTGCCATATTTCCCTCAATTTAAAATTTTCGCTTTGTTTTCTTGTTTTTTTTTGTGGTGATATGTATGCCCTTTCATTAGGGCAGTGCTGCTCCCCCGGATGGACGGGGAGCCTGCCGGTTGGACCGGGCGGTCCACTGGCCCGGCAGGCTCCAGGTCCAACCCAACGCATCGCATGGGGGGGGKGGGGGGGGGATCCACACGATTGCCCAGACCCCAGGGGCACACTGCCCCCTTAAAAGGAACAAGTGGACCCGCCGTGGCTCCACCCGCGGCGAGAAGAGCAGAGATTGTGAGAAATGAGGAGAGGGGGAAGGCGATAGAAGATGTAGAGATGCAATGTTTCATCCCCGCCTCCATCCCCCCATCTCGAATTCGTGGCCGACCCTGACCTCCGGATCACACCCATCCTCCATCCCGATCTGGATGCCGGTTTCAGTATCCGGATCTCCTCGGCCAACCCCTTCCATCCCGATCTGGATGCCGGTTTCCCCACGTCCCGACCTTGTCGCCCCCATCCCCCATCTCGACCTCGATGCCGACCCCACCCCCTTCCCCTTCATCCCGATGTCGTCGCTTCTCGCACCCCTTCTCCCTATCCGGATCTCCTTGCCCCCATCCCGATTTCCCTCTAAGCTCGCCCCCATCGCCCCATCCCGAATTCGTGGCCTGCCCCGACCTCCGGACCGCCCCCATCCTCCATCCCGACCTGGATGTCAATTTCCCCGCATCCGGAGCTTGTCGCCCCGATCCCCGATGGCCGACGCTGACCTCCGGATCTCCCCCTCCTCATCATGATGTCATCAGGACCTCTTCCTCGTCATCCCGTTATCGTCGCTTTGCCCCCATCCCGACCCCTCCCCTTCCCCCATCCTGACTTCGATCCCGATGTCGTCGCTCCGGATCTCGTCGTCCCCATCCCGATCCCCCTCGCAGTTCCCCCTCCCCTACTCCTATCCCGACTTCCTCGCCCCACATGCCGACCTCGTCGCCCCCATCCACCATCTCGGCCTCGATACCGAATTCCTCCTTCCCTATCCCGACCCCCCTCCTTCCCCCATCCCGACTTCGATCCCGATGTCATCGCTCTGGATCTCGTTGCCCTCATCCCAATCCCCCTCTGAGTTCCCCCTGCCCTATCCCCTATTCCGACCTCCTCGCCCCCATCGCCCCATCCCGAATTCGTGGCCAACGTGGACCT